CAACGCTCAGCCCAGCATGCCCCCTCAGATGATGCAGTCAGGCCCTGAGGGTCCTCAGGGAGGCATGTGGCAGGGACCTCGAGACATGAACTATCAGAACTACCCCAGCAGGCAAGGTGGCCCTGGGGGTCCACCCCAGGGACCCGGTTACCCTGGCATGAACCGCTCAGAGGAGATGATGTCATCAGAACAACGCATGAATCATGATGGCCAGTGGGGGGGTCAGATGGGCCCGCGGCAGCCTCCCTATGGTCCAACAGGGCCTGGCCAACCCATGCCTCGTTCAGTACAGTCCAACTACCAGCCCCCTCAGGGTGTGCAGAACCACATTCCACAGGTGTCCAGCCCGGCCTCCATGCCCCGCCCCATGGAGAGCAGGACATCACCTAGTAAATCTCCCTACATGCACGGAGTAATGAAGATGCAGAAGGCTGGCCCTCCAGTGCCTGCATCTCACATAGTGCCCCCTCCGGTGCAATCGCCTCTAATAAGGCGAGACATGCCTTTTCCCCCGGGCTCTATAGAAGCTACTCATCCTGTCCTGAAACCACGTCGGAGACTCACCATGAAAGATATCGGTATGACTAGATTACGAATAGCGAAAGCATTTCGTGTCATTAATCATTATTATTGACGTTTGTGAGCGTCATGCTCAGAGAATACTTGGTACTACTTGTTTTTTGTCCTGATTTCTTAGGAACGCCGGAGGCCTGGAGAGTCATGATGTCATTAAAGTCCGGTTTATTGGCTGAGAGTACATGGGCCTTAGATACCATCAACATTCTCCTGTATGATGACAGCAGTATTTCCACCTTTGATCTCAACACGGTGAGACTTAACATCGAGCCCTTACCGATAATTTATAGCAGAACATCATGCATGGTCATCGTGTCTAATATTTTCTATCTTTCTTCCCTTTCCTCAGTTGCCTGGCCTACTAGAATTGGTGGTTGAGTATTTCAGACGCTGCCTCATTGAAATCTTTGGCATTCTGCGGGAGTATGAGGTTGGAGATCCTGGCCAGAGGACACTACTTGATCCTGATGCCTTGAAACGAGACTGGGACAGCACGGAAGAAGAGGAGCCACGGGCTGAGGACATGGAACAAGAGGAAGAGGATGACGAAGAAGAGGAGGAACGAGAAACTGAGGGGCCGGCTCACGTGAAAGTGGAGGAGGAGCAAGAGCAGTGCTCTAAATCTCGGGGTCGAGATGAGAAGACAGAAGATGAGGAGAGGAAGAGCAAGGGCTCCTCATCTGAACAGACAGGCTCATCGCAATCCTTACCTGCCCACGAGAGACCCAAACAGGCCAGCAAGTTTGACAAGTTTCCCCTAAAGGTGGTACGAAAGAGAGACCCATTCGTGGCTGGCCAGTCTAACAATCACAGCAAACCGCAAGAGTTTGACAGTGGGTTACTTCATTGGAGTGCTGGAGGGGGAGACTCAACAGAACACATCCAGACCCACTTTGAACCACGCAAAGACTTCTTGGAACCCCGAGAACGAATACCTGTGCCCCCAGTTTTGCTGAAGAGACGAGTCCCAGAAGAAGACATACGGGAAAACTGTTTGCCAACCGAGGAGGAGAAAAGGAAGCATCAGGATGAAGAAGAAAGGCCAAAAGACACATCTTCCTCAGACAAAGCAACAGTCTCGGAGAAGGCCAGCCCCTCACTCAGCAGCGAGGAGGAGAGGAAAACGAATTCTGAAACAAAGACAGTAGAGAAAGGTGCGACAAGTCACCAGGAGAATAATAGACCAATCCTTTTCTCCGGCAGTGTTTTAGCCCAGCAGGCACAGCAGACTGGCACCATCCTGGAGGATGAGCCTCACAGTAAAGATGAGGGGCCGCTCATTGCACTGGCTAACTGGCAGGATTCTTTAGCCCGCCGCTGCATTTGTATCTCCAATATTGTCCGCAGCCTCTCCTTTGTGCCAGGCAATGACCACGAGATGTCCAAGCATCCAGGGCTGCTGCTGCTACTGGGTCGCCTGATCCTGCTCCACCACAGGCACCCTGAACGCAAACAGGCCCCACTCACCTACGAGAAAGATGAGGATTCAGATGAGGGAGTGGGCCAAAGGGATGAATGGTGGTGGGACTGCTTGGAGCTCCTGAGGGAGAACACACTGGTCACTTTGGCAAACATCTCAGGCCAACTGGACCTTTCTGTCTACCCCGAGAGCATCTGCTTGCCTCTGTTGGATGGTCTTCTCCACTGGGCTGTCTGCCCCTCAGCAGAGGCCCAGGACCCCTTCCCCACATTGGGCCCTCACAGTGCTTTGTCACCTCAGAGACTGGTTCTGGAGACGCTAAGCAAATTAAGCATCCAAGACAACAATGTGGACCTCATCTTGGCCACTCCACCATTCAGTCGGTTGGAGAAGCTATATGGAAACCTGGTGCGGCTAATTGGAGACAGGAAGGTTGCAGTCTGCAGGGAGATGGCCGTGGTCCTACTGGCCAACCTGGCCCAGGGTGATACTATGGCAGCCCGAGCAGTCGCTGTTCAGAAGGGCAGTGTGGGCAACTTGCTGGGTTTCCTGGAGGATAGTCTGGCTGCCACACAGCTTCAGCAGAGCCAGAGCTCTCTACTACACCTACAGGGGATGCACTTCGAGCCCACAAGCCCGGACATGATGCGGCGAGCTGCCCGGGCTTTGCACGCCTTAGCCAAGGTGGAGGAGAACCACTCAGAGTTCACACTACACGAGTCCCGACTCCTCGACCTTTCAGTGTCTCCCCTAATGAACTCGCTGGTTTCTCATGTTATCTGTGATGTACTCTTTTTGATTGGCCAGTCATGACAGCTGTAGGGAGCCTTGGCTCCACTTTTTGGGGGTTTTATCCCCAATCCCCTCTTCCCTGGTAACCTGGCTTGTGTGTGTAACAGGGCAAGGAAAGTTCAAGTGACTGTCTTTAATTTATGAAAATCCTTCAGATTCCATTCTCTGAGCCCTCCCCAGGCCGTCCTTGCTGGAGGAGGGTAATCACAGAGCTGTGGTGGATTACAAACCAGAGAGATGCCCACAAAGTGACACTACTTGCAACATGAATGCCAACTGGACGACACAGAGCAGAGCACCACGGTTGGGAGACTGTTCTGCACTTGGGGGAAAGTACTTTTTAATAAAGATAAATAAATGAATAAATAAATAGCTGAAAAACAAAAACTGTAACCAAAGTTGCTGTCTCGTTTACAGTGAGTTTGGGAGACACAGTGTGCCCTAGCTCTCCCCTCGAGGGCACAATGAGTCTGTAACTGGTTGACGTTCAGAGGTGAAGCAGACTGACAAGTGGCCTACTGGTTATAGTTGCTGTAGTTGGATTTTCACCAGTCAGCCCGACAGTAGACAAAGTGCTGTCAATAGACACCTTCACCAGGGAGGCCTGTGCAGTGTGCAGTAGATTGTAGGACATTTTCTGTACCGTACTGCTCTTGAGTGTAAGCATTCTGTAACACACGTTTCACACAGAAGCTGACGATGCAGCTCTTCTAGAGTTTTGAGGTCATTTTAGTTTGGTGTTAAACAGAAAATGGCTTTCTTCCCCAAAGTATCAAGAACCTACAACACCCTTACCTCCTCTTATCCCTTGATTGTATGAATACCCTTATGAAAAGAAATCACCTCTTAGGACTGGTTTTCAACTTCAAATACAGCTTTGCTGTGGTGTATATATAATGTTGTACATTACACTTCCTTTCTCTGTGTCTGTCTCTGTCTGTGTCACTATTCTCACACTTATTATTGGTGAGGGATGGAGGCTGACTTGTGAGTTTGGTCCGTGACCTCCAGTCCCTGCCGATTAGACCCACTCCTCTGGTCTCTCCACAGCTCCGTAGTACGGCAGACACGGCTCAAACCTGTTATCTCCTGGTACAACAAAAATAAACTAGATGAAGTACACATTGACAATTTTTCTCCAGTCATGGATTCTGCATATTTGTATTTCAGACTATGTAGCTAAGACAACATGTAAATTCCTCCCTTTCCCTTTTTTGGCTCAATGAATATCATTTATTCAGTATGAAATCTTTATACTATATGTTCCACGTGGTAAGAATAAATGTACATTAAATCTTCGTAAGCTGTTTGATGGTTTTGTTCTTCTGGAATAATTACCTCTTCTGGACAAACAAATCAACAAACAAATGTGAGAGTTCACACGAATTGAGCTCCAAAAGAATTTTAGAAATAAGTGTCCTCACCTCTGTGCTCAGGAAACATGGTCCCTCTTGGCTGACTCATCCATTAATATGAAATTCACTGGGTTTGTATTAACCCTATTACAGTTTCTGTGTTTCAGTAAACTGCACAAGTGTAAGAAAAGCACTTCAGCCTCAGTCATTTCACTAACTTATAAAGCTTGAAGGAGGAAGACTGCACACAAGCTTTGTTTGTATGAATACTCTTATTTATTCAAACAATATTACACAACATCAATTTTGAACATTTTGGCTTACACTTCCATCAGGGGTCAAACAGAAATAAACCACTTAGAAACCATTTCATATACATTTTCAATCAAAATATACATTTATCAGATAAACAAACATAAAAACAACAAAACAATTTCACATTTATGAGATTTCTGACAGGCATGTGAATTAGGAAGTGATCTTAACTCAGATCCACTCAAACTTAATACACTAAAGAAATGGAAACAAAACTTCATTTTTGAAAGAAGAATAATATACTTGCACCAAAAAAAACAGTCCATGAGACTGCAGCTCCGCCTGCTGGAGAGGAAAAAATACTTACGCCCGTCATTGTACGTACAGCGTTACAATGTGATCAAAGCAGGTTAGGAATTGAAGAAGAAGCCAAACTATCATTCTGATTTTTTTTTTTTTTGCTACAACGCATACAGCTTTTACAAAAATAAATGTCTTCATTGTGCATGCAGGAGAAACGACACAAGGATTGTCTTCGTCTTGGCTCACGAGCTTTTATTTTGAAATGGATTTTGCAGTTGCACCGGAAGCGAAAAGTGCCAGTCAAAACGAGTCAGACCACTGCAGGAGGAGAGGATGTGGAGACAAAGATCGCACCTGAGCGAAAACAAATGCTGCTAGACGACGGGTGGCTACGTAATAAAATCCGTGTTTACCCTCAACTAAATTTGTCAGACCAATGATAACTAGATACTCGCAGAATCTCATTTTGCTGAATGGTTTTTCCCTGCTAGCTATGTTTAATAGAAATTATGACGAATCCAGCGGTGACTGCCTCGTAGCAGCGACAATGCTCAGGCCTGTCATAACCGGCTTTCTCAGATTTTGTTCGTCACATCAATGACCATGGATGTCAGAGCAGTTCTGGAGTTTGCCACAGTCACCAGGGGCCTCTCGCTCTTCTTGCAGGTAAGCTTTGGACAAGTTGGATAATATACAATTTGCTTACTTCTTTGTAGCTACAACGTCATTTAAGCTTCATTTCCCGCGAATGTTTAAGTCATCTCGTCTTGGCATTTACATGTTTCTGTATGTGGTATCTAATGAAAAGCACTCAGGGGAAAACATACTGTATGAGATAAGTAAGTCACAGACAACGTGACTGTACACCTGTGTGTGTCTTGTTTGTCTATACTGCAAAACTCTGCTTACGGTGACAGGGTTTATTTTAATAATATAACATGTTTCTCCTCAGGCTGTCTTGAATGCTGCCATCCCTGACCATGAAGCTGATGCATTCAGGCCCCCGCGGACAGAAGAGCCTCTGTACTTGGACTCTGCAGTGGAGTGGTTATTGGGTGGTCTTTCTCACTGGGATGCAGAGCACTTCCTCTTCATTGCTGAGAGAGGATACCTGTATGAGCACAACTTTGCTTTTTTCCCCCTCTACCCTGTAGTACTCCGTGGCTTGGCAGAGACACTGCTGTGGCCCCTGAGCGGCTGGCTGAGTGTGCGGGGGCGTCTGTTGGTGGCCGTTGCTCTGGGGAACAGTGCCCTCTTCCTGCTGAGTGTGGTCGCCTTGCACGCACTTAGTAGAATAGTCCTGCAGGACAGACGTCTTGCTCTGCTCTCCAGCCTTCTCTACTGCATCACACCAGCCAATGTTTTCATGACTGCTGGATACTCGGAGAGCCTGTTTGCTGCCCTCACTTTTGGTGGTCTGTTCCTCCTGGAGAAAGGATTCACCTTCCGAGCCTGCTTGGCCCTCAGTATAGCCACTGCAGCACGATCCAATGGACTTGTCAACATAGGATTTCTACTGTATCTTCCATCGCTCCATGCCATTTCTCAGATTCGTGTTTATCGTACAACGACTAAAGGCCACATTAAAGTCTTCCACTACATTTGGGCCATCATTCGACTCCTGCTCACCTCTCTCTTGGGAACTGCAATTATTGCCCTTCCCTTTTGTGCTTTCCAGTACTATGGGTATAGGACGTTTTGCACACCGTCCGTCTCCCTGGAGCGGATCCATCCTGCTCTTCTGTCGCTGGCTGAACGGAAGGGCTACCGGGTTCCAGATGAAAATGGTCCACCACCCCTCTGGTGCATGAGACCCTTGCCCCTACTTTATTCTCATATCCAGGACGTGTATTGGGACGTGGGCTTCCTCCGTTACTTTGAGCTGAAGCAGATACCGAACTTTATTCTGGCTCTACCTATGGCTACCCTTGGCATAATGGCAGCTTATGCATATTTTCAAGCTAATTCAGAACTTTGTCTGAGACTTGGACTTTGGGAGACAAGTGCAACTAAAGGGCTTGACAAACCCACACCAGGATTCTTCAACCCAAGGGTGTTTGTGTATGTTGTACATTCAACAGTCCTCCTGGTGTTTGGAACATTGTGCATGCATGTGCAGGTAAGTAAATCATATAAACACCTTCTTGAGGAACGTTTAAACTGTCTGGTTGTGAGGAGCAACTATTGATTTCCATTCATCCCCATTCATTTTACTCTGCATTTCTAGGTTCTAACCAGATTCATGGCTTCCTCGTCTCCTGTGCCGTTCTGGATAAGTGCTCATCTTCTCCTCCTCAATGAGCCCCTTCTTCATCGAAGGAAAACATCAAACCCCAACGTACAACTACAGACACATTCCAGAAATGGATGCAAGCACACACCTCAAAACCCTATCATTGCACTGCTGCCACATTTCAAAACCTGTTCACCAACCACACAGAGCATCCTGGGATACTTTGTCTCTTACTGGGTGCTGGGACTCGCACTGCATTGTAACTTCTTGCCATGGACTTGACTTTAGACATTACTCTGAGCTTTAAATGCAATATTTCTATGTAGGACTGGGCGATTTATCATATTTTAAGTCATATGAATCCACATATGTGTTTTTGCAGTACATCATCATCCATAGTCATTTTTTCTGCCTGTAATTGTTAAATTGTTAATTGTAGTATTGCATTACAAAGAGATTGACATGAAAATTGAATAATACATGAATACAAAATGTTTCAAAGTCCCATTTATTTAGAAAAACAAAACAAAATGATTTTATTTTATTTTTGGTGAAAACAAAACCAAAGCAAAGAAAAGTACAAAAAAATAAATAATGCTTTGCCTGATATTTTGATAATGTCTCCCAGTTCTACATAGAACCTGTTGACATTATTACATTTTTGATGCAGATTTATTCATGTAGTAGTCAACAAATCTGATTTGCACAACTTAGTCAAATGTGTTTGTAGTTGTTTGAGAATAAACTGAAATGTACAATATACCTGAAACTTTACCGAACACTTGGGTTGTAAAAAAAAAACAAAAAAAAACCCCTCTTTATTTTATGATGAGTACTTGTTGAATCATTCAGATTTTAATTACTCAGTTAAATGTTGCACTGCATGTTGGGAAAAATTATTCCAAGTTATAGTTTGGGACTTTTGGATGTGGATAAAAAAAAATAAAGATTTTGTTGCTGTAAAAGGTTTCCCACTTTAGTTTTATTTCCATGTAAACGCAATTTGTCTTTCTCAAAACATGAATCTGACACGTATGTGTTTTGCTGTGAAGAACATTTGTTGCCGAAGTTGCACTGGAAAGTTAGCCTTGAATTTAAAATTAAACTAAATGTGATAAATCTCTACAAGAATGAATTTAAACATAGGTATATGTGATGCGTGTTGATTTTTCACACACAAAACCATATCTCTCTCTTTCTCTCTCTATCTCTTTCTGTCTCTACAATGTATGTAAACAGTTTTGTGTTCTTTAGTGGTTTACTTACCAATCAGATCCTTTACTGCACTGTAACTGGCACTAACTTGTCAAGTCTAGAGTTACCCCTCATGATACTTGCAGGCATCTCTTTGAAACCAGCAGAGGTTGCTGTTACACATGAAACAATTTGGTGCCCCTAACATCAAAAGAGTATTTCTATGATGCAAATCTGTACTAAAAACACCAAATCACCATTTTAACTGGACCTCTTGGCTGTTTGTACTGTACACAGTTTCTGAACATGTTATTAATCCAAGATTTCTTACAGCAGATTCAGTATGAAAAAGAAAAATGAACTGGAACAGTAACCTCACAAGGTATTTCTCTATTTCTCTTCTTTCACGTCCCTTAAATTGAGTCTAATAAATTCTTCTGCTATAAATTTAACAAACAAATTAAACAGATGAACACTTCTTCCTCTTCCCCACTTATGAGTTCCAAAAGTGCCATAACAGGGTTGAAAAGACTGCATAATGTGACAGTTGACATGCACACAGAGCACAAACACCCAAGGACTCATTACTAGTTCACTTGTTCAAATGATCTAAATGTGGAATAGAATACTGCGAGCAACCAGCTTTTACTAATTGTCATAAACAAAAGATGACTATGGGAATTGAGAAAGAGCTGATCAGATTTCAGTGGTATGTGTTTGCAGGGATCACCATTTATTTGCCAAGGTCACATGCTTACAAAGATTGCAACCTCAGTGTGAGACAAACAAATCCCAGATTGACAAATCCGACTGTCTGCAGAAAGTATACAAAGTGTTCCTTGTCCTATGAATGGATTGCATTTGTACAGGGTTTTACAGTATTGATGGTGCCCTACAGTTTGCCTCTCATTCACTGATTCACACACACTCACACAATGATGGCAGCAAGCTACTGTGCAAAGTGATGTCCTCACTATAGGAAAATATTTGGGATTCAGTGTCTTGCAAAAGCACACTTTGACATGTGGACAGAAGGAGCTGAACCTACTCTTCCTGAAACATCTCAACTATAGTTAACAGGTAAATGTCATAGAATTCTCAAAATGAGCTCTTCCATCAAACCTAAAATAATTAAATGAATAAACAAATAAAAAGCCAGAGAAGTCAATGATGTAATGCTTTTCCTAATCCCTGCCATGCTTAGCACACAGGATGGAGGTCAGCAGAACTGCTACTTTAAGATCAATCATTTAAGAATGATGAAACTGAATTTTAGATGACTCTACAACTATGAAAAAAGAAAGTTTCCTCGGTAGTGGAGTTTATCAGTATGCAGTACCCAGTATCACACCGGCTCCAAACCAGTGAGAATAATTTATGAGTTAATCAAATTACCTAGGAATTCTGGAGTCCCGAAGGGTTTGTAAAATACTCTCATCAGCCTATAAAATATCCACTATGTGTACATAGAAAAATCTCTCCCATGATACTGAAGGCCAGCAACTGAACAACAACATGAGCTTATTTTGATTGTTTGCAACGAATTGGTGTATTATCTATATGGGCTTTCATTAAACAATGTGGGAAAGCACATACCTCGAGCTGCCTATGCCAATCCAAAGATTATCCCTGTGCGGGCGCTGCTGTTTGCCGCTGATCTACAAATCATCTCCTCCCATACCTGATGTGTTTGTGTCTTTACAAATCAGCGGAGATACGTCAACGTTCACGACGTGACGTACATCGGTTGACGGGAAGAGAAAAAAAGGAAACGTGAACTGCCCGAAAGCCTGTCTGTCTGCTTGTGTTGCAATCTTAACAAAAGGCGAGACAATTTACCGAAATGAGCACTAATATTTCTGCGAGGCTTTAATTTAACTACCCAAGATGGTAGTTAACCTTGAGTCAACTCGGGAATTGATCCAGCTCGTTAAACTCAACTACGGAGAAGAATGCCTGTGCTGGTACGCTAGCTAGCTGGCGTTAGCTTTCAGGATGGGCAACTGAACGCTAACCGAACGGGAAAATATAAATGTACAATGACTGAATCTTGAGAGCACTGTCTCTCGAAAGCGCGTCGAGAAAAAGCGAGTTCAGTGTGTGTCTTTAGCTACCTCCGAGCCGTGTGGATACTGTTTACATGATGAAGAACTGCGAGTACCAGCAGATCGACCCCCGGGCGCTGTCGGTGTCGCCCTCGTCGGCACAGAACCACCTCGAAAAGAAAGAGCAGCGGCCGCGGAGGAAATGGGAAGTGTTCCCAGGAAAGAACAGGTTTTTCTGCGATGGACGGATCATGCTGGCCAGACAGAGCGGTGTCCTTCCTCTGACACTGGGCCTTATTGTTGTCACTTGTGGCCTTTTCTTTGCATTCGAGTGAGTAACTACAAATGACCCTTTGTAAGTCAACTTTGAAGGTTCTTGCTAACGTGATGTGGAGGGTGGCCCTGAATCTAGCTTTATCACATTTGCTTTAAATGGAGTATCGTGACAATATGCTGGAGGAGTAAAGTTGATTTTGACTGAAAAGAGCACATCTCCTTCTTTTACAGTTGCCCATTTCTGGTGGAGCATCTGACCATCTTCATACCTGTGATTGGTGGGATGCTTTTTGTGTTTGTGGTCATCTCCCTGCTGAGAACCAGCTTTACAGACCCAGGCATCCTTCCTAGGGCCACCCCAGATGAAGCTGCCGACATAGAGAAACAGATAGGTAAGGCACATCCTGGAATTGCATGCTTTCTGTGGGACAGATGGGGTAAAGGAGCTTTGCCATATGGGGGATCTCCGAGGGACGTGTTTGTCTTTGAACTGTAGACCAACACCTAAGCAGCTTATTCTAACTATCATGACTGAAGAGCACAAAAGCCAGACATAGGTTTGTTTGTGTTTATGTGACATTTATTATAACTTTTGATTGCTTTTTGGGTGAACTGTATGTATCAAATGTTCAAGTCTTAGTGAGTCTTTCTACTTGTACTTTTCCATTTCAAGATACCTCAGGATCCTCTACATATCGCCCCCCTCCGCGTACCAAGGAGATCCTCATCAACCAGCAGGTGGTAAAACTCAAATACTGCTTCACTTGTAAAATGTTCCGCCCCCCTCGGACCTCCCACTGCAGCCTGTGTGACAACTGTGTGGGTAAGGATGCGTTATAAAGTTACCACTTATTCCAACTACTCTAATTATACCTAAAAACTTATTACCATTGCCAAGAGGAACTTAATATCCTGTCACTCTGGAATGATTGCCTTTTAAAAGTACTGTAGTGGCCACTTTATTAGGCACATGTGAATAAACTGATGGAATCCAGTACAACAGCTCTGCCATAAATTCTAGCTTTACCAAAGTTCATAGTGTTCAGCTTTTGGTGACATCAGAAATGTGTGAATCCAATTACATCCTTTTTATTGAGGTCATAGTTGTTGTTGCACCTCTCAATGTAACGCAGTCCAGTACAACATCACCTCTGTTTATAATGTAGATGTTAAAACATATAATTGAATAACACCTCTATGACATTGTCCACTAAAACTGAGTGGCCATCATAAAATTAAACAAAGTGGATAGAACAGTTGTATTGCATGACATTAAATTGTACAGGTATACATAATTAAGTGGCCATATACAGTAGCCAATACAGAGCAATTATGCCTGGATCCACCCTGATCGCAGTCTTGTAGACTGGCTTAGGGGACCTCTTGTCTTTTTCGTCAGCTTCACTGATATGAATAATTTAATATACAGTACAGTGTGTTAGATATTGAGGCTTACTGCTGTTGTACTATAAAACTTGCCTTGAATCTTTGGTATGTTTACTGCTTTCTCACCCTCAGAACGATTTGATCACCACTGCCCATGGGTGGGGAACTGCGTTGGCAAACGCAATTACCGCTTTTTCTACAGCTTCATCATCTCTCTGTCATTTCTGACATCTTTCATATTTGGCTGTGTCATCACACACATTACTCTACGTAAGTATTCTCACTCTGCAAATAGTCACAGATATCACTCAGTAGTTGTATGATGTTCATGTCATGTTATCAAGAACCACTTTATTGAAATATGTCCTTTTTTTCCCTCCAGGTTCTCAAGTAGTTAAAAGCCTCGTTCAAGCCATTCAAGAGAGCCCTGCCAGATATCCTTTGTACATACCAAATTTTCATGTAGTCAACCTGTTTATGAGATAGATGAGATCTTTTTGAATTAGTTTATTTCCTGCCAACAACAAACACAAGTTACACTGTTGACAAGGCATTTCCCACTCCTCCTCAGCCTAAGCCCACGCTTAATAGGATCAGAGAGTTAGCATCCAGCAAAGCAGTGCTTTTAGGCAGATGGCTTTCCAGTAGTAGGTTTGCTGCCTCATGTCCTTGTGTGATGATGTCAGTGACTAGACAGATATAGACGGCATGACTACACAGTGGTTTGAGTTGTTATTCACAGACAGGGGGTTGGTTAATTTCCTAATGATGTGCATGATGAGCATGACATTATGTCTTCCTGTTGGAGTCTTTGTGCGAAGATTGTTTTTTTCCATTACTTATCTCATAGAGCAGGTGATTTTTAGATTATTTTTTTTAGAAACTTATTGCATCATTTTCATATTGGAATTTAAAACTTTGTGCATCCTCTGTGACCATAAGCATTAAAGGTCATAACAGCATTTTTAGCCAATTTATAAATAACATAATTTACGACATGTTCACTGTGATGGATTATATACAGTATATCTTAAACAAGCTGAAACAAATGTAAACCAATGAGTTTCTGACTGGAAGGTAGGAATGAAAGATAAATGATTCAAAGTAGCAACAGTATGATGGTGGGACAGCCTTTTGTTTACATCTGCATGACAAATTTGCAGTTGTAGAATGTAACGTATGCTTACTCAAGTGTTGCCCTTGAATACAGTTTTGAGGTACTTGCATTTTACTTGAGTAATTCTATTTTCATTTATATCTAATGTTCTGATATTAAAAATGGTTTGTCAAAATGTGAAGAGTTCATATTATAAGCACACGTGTTATGTGACGTTTATATATTTGCAAGTACTTGATTCTATGCTACGTCTAAATAAATGACACCATTACATAACTACTTCTATTTTAGTAAGTCATAACGTAGAGGCATAAGCTAACTTAAGCAAAGAAAAAGCAGCCCCACCACAGTGTAAAATATGGCTAGTTATCTCCATGAATTTGAATTCTCTGTGTAATGGTGAGAGGGAAACAACTTCAACACATATTCACCATTGTCATAGATGTTAGTCATGTTGCTCTCATTGTCACCTGTCCTAAGTAACAATTGATAATGATGATGTAATCATGCCTTGACTCTTCCTCGCTTACTGTGGTGGAGCTGGTGATTTGTTTCTTCTCCATCTGGTCTATACTGGGACTCTCAGGCTTCCATACATATTTAGTAGCCTCCAACCTCACAACAAATGAAGATGTAAGTATTAAATATATGACACCGTTCAATTCATTAATAGACTTTATCCGATAACTGACAGCATACCCTCTTTGTTTACTGTGCAGATAAAGGGTTCCTGGTCAAGTAAAAGGGGTGCAGAGGAGTCTGGGAATCCGTACAGTTACAACAGCATCATAACTAACTGCTGTGTGACGTTATGTGGCCCCATGCCCCCGAGGTGAGTGATGATGTCAGGAGTCCTTATCATCCCTACACACATTTTTCTTTTAGTTACTCTGCAGTTCAGCCTGCCTCTCACCATGTTAACAGCTCTACAAACCTTTCCTCTACTCAGTATCAGTGAAAACACTTCATGAACAGTTCCTTGATAATAGCATTGGTCACAGTGCAGGTAGAGTTCACGTTTAAATGCATCATAATATAATCTTCTCTTCTGTTCTCTAGTCTGATTGACAGAAGAGGCTTCCTGCCTCCTGATGAGGCGATCCCTGCTGCTTCTGCCTCGGAGATAGAGCTGCCACTCTTTGCGGCCAAGAATGACACGCACATGGTAGGATGAACCAGCTTGTGGTCCCTCCCAAGTCCTGACTGTCCCATAGCTCCTGTGTTGTTGTTAGCCTGCCCCCCTCTGTGCCTTCTCCACAGTCTGTGTTTCCACTCCTTCATCCTCCAGACCTCCAGATTCAGCACCTCAAGTAGAGTTGCTGACATGCGGTACTTTGCATCTTTGTCATGAAAGTCACACATTTTACATGTTTTGTCTATACAAACAGAAAGAAAAGATTGTGGATTTGTTATAGCGAATGGCCCATTAAGTAGTCTATGTTTGCATTTGAACAACATTACTAGGGCTCAGCTTACGATGGTTTGAGACGGACATAATATAAAGCCAAATATTCACAGTAGAAATGATTGAGGTAGCTAATTATAGCTGGCATGCGAGCTGCTGAAGAGGTAATTTATCACCATGCAGCATGCTGAAGTAATACTGCTGTGTCATATATTCTTTTAGCTGTGGAACAAAATGTCTTGGAAGCCACTTGTAACACTGTTTGGCATCACTGAGCAGTTAAAAACAGCACGAAAGTGGGCAGAGAGTTTTAACAGCCAAACATTTAACCATTTCTTTAAGTCATTGTTGAGTTGCTGAGTTCCCCTGTCAGACTGCTGCAGATATGTTATGGTCATTTTGTGTTGACGGTAAACACGTTAATTGTCGCACCTTTTGAAATTTGAGTTTGTGTTTATGTCTGCTTACACTTGTAGGAATTCAACATGTTGCTGTATCTACCTCTCTGTTATTGTACTTCTCAGTTTGCTTGTATGTTGTGGTGAAGGTTTATGCACACAAAGGACTTTTTAAGTAGGACATGCAAATGGTATCAGATCAGATTTTGTATTGGATTCATCAGCACTTTATCACAGATCATTTGTCACATGCCTTGAATACATTTGTCTCAATATTGTCAACATATCAAATATCTTAGGTATATTATTAGCTTTCTAAAATCTACTTTTACTTCTATTTGTGCGTGCATCTTTTATTTACCTAAAAAGTATAACAAGTGTTTTTTTATGTGTTAAATAAACATTATTTTTGTATTTTGGGATTTTGGTCTCTGTTTTAAGTTTACTTTGTCTTTTCATTTTATCAAGTCTTCATGTGCCTGACTGCAGGTTTTAAGATGTTTGGAAAAAGTTGTATTTTCTGAGGTTAAACTTTTTATTTCAATACTTATAAGTTAGCGAACAGTTGGATTTATTTATTATGAGCATTTGTATTAATCGCTGGATGAAAGATTTGACACTCAGTGTTGTACTGTATCCATTCCACCCTGCTAGGAGGAGAACTGTCAGGATTTTGCTTTTTCCTGCACAGCCTGAAGGGCACTGCTGCATGTAGACGGTTGATGGTAAGAGTAGGGTTGAACGTTAAACCAATCACAACATCTCTTCACTTGCCATTCATTGTCTCATTTTTCATATTGTACCCGTTTAGGTTTGGAGTTGCTGTCATCTTAACAGTTATTTCTTTTCTAAGTTATTTTATTTTTTGCATAAAGCCAAATGCAGTCAGGGCAGATTTTGTGATTGGTTTGTAGTGATGGTGTGGATGGGTGCACTGTCTTATTTGAATGTGCATGCTTCACTACCATTCATTCATTCTCTCATTAACATTTGCTCACTCACTCAGTGCTGGATGGAGTTCGTGTTTGAGGGCTGATGATTTTTTCTCTTTGTCTTCTCTGTAGATAGATGACATGTTTTTCTCATTTATCTGGGGCTTTATTGTGCATGTATGGTGATGCAAACAAATACAAGTCTGTATAAACTACCTCCCTTTCTACTCTGATCAAAGCCAGAAGAAACACAGGAAGAAGCAGTGTCACCACACACATCAAAATCTTTCTTTACCCTTGTTTAATATGGTTGCCTTCTAATTGCATTGTCTGCATCTAACTCACTTCCTCCATGCTTCTTCATTTGAATCTTTTGACAGTGCTGTCATTTGTGCAATCACTGCTTCCATTGTGCTTGATGAGCTCCAAACTAATCCTTTAAATCACATTCAGATTTTTCTGTACATGTCCGTCTTACTGTTTTGTCATTGCAGCTTGGCCTTTCATAACGTAAACCCATGATGTTGCAACATTTTTTCCTGACTTCTCTGTTTTCTCCTCTGCACACAGTGCACTCAGAGCACCAAGGACGTGCTGGAGAGGATGGTTAACTCCTCCGACTTTCATGGCCTGTGTCCCCCTTGCACCCCAAAGACCACCCCACTTGGCCCGGAAGTTTTCAGCACGCCGGCACCTTCCTCAGAGCCTTCACCCTCCACTGGCTGCTCACAACAGCACGACCGCCAGCCCGTGGCCGCTCCTTGCCCTGTGTTCAGCAGAAGCAGCAAGAGGGACTCGCTGCACTCCATCAACCCAGCCTTCCGTCTGGCTTCTCCCTCGCCGTCGCTGAGCCGGGCCAGCTTGATTCTGGGCGATGCACCCGACATTGGCTTTATTCCTCTATCCTGAGTGCGCACCCAGTAACCATAGGAGAACAGAAGGAGTCATAGTGGACTTATTCCGCTGCTCTGTATCATTGGCAATGAATTTGACTGACTTTTTTTTTACAGTGGTGGTCATGAAGCGTGTTGCCATTTGGTTTCTCAAGATGTCATTATGATTTGATTAAGCATTACCTGTTCTGTGAGTTAAATCAACAATGTACTACTGTATGTGTCCTTCAGGATGGAGGTAAATCTTAGTAACACTTGGAAGCACAATATAGAAATATTTTTTTAAACACCTTTTTATTAAAGATACCCAGAACATGCCTCCACACCTTCCACAGAACCTCAAGCCATACATCACAGCCGCAGTGTTTAAGTTCCTGTTAATATCTTATGCAAACAGGTCTTTAAATCTGGGAAAACTTAACGTTTGACTGTGGATGCAAGAAGTACAGAAACAAAAGATCTTACTGAAATGGCATGCTCTGGATAGTGAGCCATTTCAGGATGATCAGTTCAAGAGTTAGCCTTATGTCACGTCTGATCATATCCTGTCACCCAGGTCTACATCAGCCCAGTGTCATTGGGTGGATCCAGTTTGACTGTTTTTAGATACATGAATAATCACTTTTTGAAGGGAGAGGAGGAGGTGCAGTTTTTGTTTTATTTTTATTGTATGCGTATAAAAGCTTTTTTTCAGTTTTTTCTAATCAGTTCTGCATGTCTTGTACATCAGATGCTTTTAAGCTAAATGGCAAATATTTCAGATTTATTCAGGTGTGACTGGATACTGAATGACTAAATTGTGTAGCATTTATACATAATTATACATAACTGTATAATGTCCACTTTGTTGCTTTATCAAATGTGTTGGATGTTAAAACCAAGTATTTAAATCAAACTCATATTTGCTGCTGCTGCCTATCAGGGCTTGGATTGGAGTATTCATCGCTGAAATGCTGTTTCCTATTTATGTGGTCTCCTGGAACGCTTTCAGTCTGAGTGAGCATCTGCTTTTTCTTTGCTTCAGGGCACATCAACAGTATGTTACCTGTCACAAGTGTGTCGGCGGTTGGAGCACAGGCCTGACGTTCGACTGTTTCAAGCAGCGTAATGTTTTAGGAATGTTGATGAGGCCTCTTCTCGTGCAGGGCAAGCTGTCATTTTCATGGCTGTGACCTTTAACTGCTCTTACAGCATGAAACTTAACCCCCTGTCTGTGATGGTGGAGTACAGTTTCTTGTGAGGGTTAGGAGTTAGTTTGTGCCACTAGGGGGCAGGATGTGAATAAGGATTGCAGGCTTGCCGGAGAACAATTTAGTAACTTGAAAACCATTAGAAGAAAGGCCTTGTGATGTTTTATTTATTCTTTCTTTTTGTAATTGAGTGTTGAAGCTGTACATAGGTTGTGAGTCTGTGAAGAACCACTTTGCCATAGTCAGTGGGTCGTTCATTTATCAGTCTGCATCAAGATCCATAGTTTGTGTAGAGACAATTACAAGCAGTGCTTGTATGAACAAACTTGTTTGCATTTTGTAGGATGTGGCAGTGGACCTGTAACATTAGGTCAATAAAAATGATCAGTTTTGTTGACTTCTACTGTTTTTTGTCTCTTCTTTCTCTCAAAACTGATTTGTCTCAAATTTACACAATTAAAAATACAGCCTTACCATGTGAAGGCTTTCTGACTGCCTAGCAAAACCCTGTGTTCACTTTATAGAAACTACTGTGATGTTAAACAGACCCATGTCAAAGTATGGTACATAAACAGAAAATCAGTGGTTATCGGGTTCATTCTTTCTGATAGCTCCCAAATGGAAACAATGTGGAGGTGCATGTCGGCCACATGTGCTCAGACAGGCAAGCATCCAGTCATGAATGGGGTCAGCGTGATGTGTGTTCACCAAATACACAAACTGTGGCCAGCAGCTGACTGAAAGATGGTTTCATGATATCTATGTGCGATAAAGAGTTACAACAAGATATTTTGGTAATAATCTTTCAGTTTTAAAAAAAATGTATTAGCCATCATTACCACAGTGTCTAGGTCCAAAACCCAGGTCTTGTACAGTATACTGCTGATCACCAGAAGGCAAAAAGTCTGTAAAAGACTGTAAAAACAGATATGATCATCTGCTACCTGCCCTCAGATGCACTTCCATCAAATAAGAGTCTTTTGACCTGCAGTTTACAGATTTTCTCTCCCGTTCCCCCCTTGTAAATAGCCATTCGAAATGGAATATCATCTTTCAGAGTGTGGCAAATTGTTTTCTTGGCATTGCCTACAACCTGTTTATTCTGTGCCCAGGGTTATACTTTTTAAGCAGTAGATTTTCCCATAATTATTCAAATTGAAAACTGGGAAAAAATAGCCTGTGGGGCCAGTGATCACAGAGGATGGACCATGGCAGCTGATGCTGGAGTCTGCCTGCACTTCAGCTGTCACTTGTGTGTGCAGAAAAGTGAGAATGTTGCTTTAAGGTCATCCGAAAATCAATTCTTTTTCTTTGAAGGGGTGTCTGCATATGGCAGCTGGTGTCTCCTGTGTCGCTGGTGTTTTTCAGCTTTCAAAGAGGATGCTTTTGAGTTTATGTAAAAATGTATAACAGCATGTGTTGTCTTATGTCTTATGAAGTAGCTTAGAAATTGTGAAAAATTTGTAGGCAATTTCAGCTCACTTTTCACTTTGTAAGAATGTATAAACACATTGTTATGATCCTTACATTTTTGGTATTCACTTTGGCAGGTAATTCAGGCAGAAAAAGACTGAAAACATAAACTTGTGGCTGATGCTTGCAAGGCTCAGACCCCTTGTTGTGAAATTTGATAACCTTAATGGATTTCTAAAATCTTTTAATGTCTCTATTACCTCATTTGACTTCAAAAGAGTCCTTGCCTAGGCATGACAGTATAGCAACCTGTATATCTTAAGCTAACATGAAACAGATGGTCAAACTTTTGGCTCAGTGTCTCGCAGGAGGAAAGAGCCAAAGCATCACTGCCGCAGCATCTGTGTTGCATTTTAGCCACAATCATCCACAATCGCCTAGAGCACTAAACATTGTTCGCAGTAGAAGAGAAGTCTGAGGATGAGTTTAATTTAACAACAGCAGTGAAGGTACCAGGTCTTCAGTGTGTACTGGGTTTATTTGTCAGCAGTGCTGAGATGTGGATTATTTGAATCCTTGTTGGCTGCGGGTGATTATTCGCCTGCTGGAGTGTGTCATGCTCTTTAACCCCAACTGGTGTGGCACTGAGACAGAGAAGGCCACCCAGTCAGAGGGGGATGAGAGGCTTTGCTTTACTACCGGTTTTCAAAATGAGAGGATGTACTTTAATGGAACCAAGGTGACTTTATTTTACTCGAGAAACAGGATTAGATCAGACAGAGGGTGATGAATAAGGGCTGAGCTTTACTGGTTCTACGTCTCTCTTTTCAGCAGATTTGTGGCCATTATACATAATCAATCAGAACAAAACTTCATTGTCTAATGTGGCACTTTCTTTTGGCTGACTCCTTCTTTTTTCTCGGAAACACATGGAGGAACATGCAGTAACCGGACGACAGGGAAAGCCATCTCTTTCACTTAAAACTAATAAATTCCAGCTCTTCAAAGAAATAGCCCACTACCAATTTACCTCCGGCTGTCATCCACTCTGTGATTCATCATGCTCGTTCCTCTTCAGCGAGCCACTTTTGGCTCTGCTGTCATGTGTGCAGCGGTGTGTCACGCTCTCACAAGCCTTTTCCTCATCGCTCGCTGGTCTGACTGGAGCAAAAGTGAAGTACCTCTGCGAACAAAACAGGTGACTCACAGTCAGGGCTGCTGTGAGCATCACTGCCGCTGTGATTTGGACAGCTAAAAGTGTGTCTCTATGTGCTGGGCAGTGAAGCTGGATATAATTAACCCTGTGCTGAGCAGAACGAACCAGCTGCCAGGAGGCTACAGCTGCCAGCAGGCATAGTTTGTTGCCTCTGCCAGTGAAACATAAAACAACTGAATCCTGTGGGTATAGTCTGCACATGGTGGTTAAAATTTCTGAATCCTAAAGGTTGAAACTATAACACAACGAAATGACCTACAGTTCTTGCATACTTTCCTAAAGGTGGATATATGAAATAAAATTTCCTCAACAAAAAAATGTAAGGGATGTTTGACCTCCTAACAAACAGGGTCGAAGTGGAGCAAAATTTTGCAACTCTTTACATGTTAGCTGACACTACAAGCAATAAAGATAAAGGTTTCCTCATAGAACGTCCATGGCAACCTGTTGAGTGTGTGTGTGTGTGTGTGTGTGCTTGCGTGCGTGCGTGCGTGTGTGTGTGTGTGTGTGTGTGTGTGTGTGTGTGTGTGTGCATGTTTGTGTGTGTGTGTGTGTGTGGAGTTTGGTCAGTACTTAACCATATGTTTGTGTACTGCTTTTCTGGGAATTTTTCTGGGTGTAACAAGGGTGGACTCGATTAACTGTGTGTTTGGGCATGGTGGTGAGTGCTAAAGCCAAAAGCCTTTTACTACATAGAGCTCATGATAGACCAGGTCAGTGTTATTTTTTGGTTGGTTTGTGTATTAGATTTGTTGACCAAATGCAATTTGGTGAGTGCAGGGTTACAGATCTTACTGGATAGCTTACAGTGCACAGGGTGTTTTAGGTTGTGATGGTCAGTGAGATAATTCAGTGCACTCTTTAGCTTATTATTTAATTCATTTGTTATTTAATCCACTGTATCTCAGCAGCAGCTGTTACTATTGTAACACTTTTGATCTTGATATATAGGCCTTGATTATGACCCCCCCCCATCCTCATATCTCTCAAATAGTCATAAAAATCATTTCCACTTTTCCAAGATACCATATCTGCTGAACAGCAACATTTAGTATTTGCATTTTTTTTCAGAGTACAGATTAGATAAACGGATAAGTAAAAAGACGTGAGATATGCGCAGTTCTTGCAGTGGAAAAACGTTGGCTGCGCATGGTGAGGTGGAAAGATTTCCCCATGGAAACCTGAATATGTGCCATGGGGCTGGATTAGTGTACCAAGGTATCACAGGGTCAAACCTTATCACAGCAGACTGTTAAATATGGTGATATCAATCCGCTGAAAATGCTTTGGTTGCTGACAGATCATTTTTATAATATTAAGGCTAACCTACCAGCAGATAACATGTCACTGTTTATTTTCTTAAGCTGCAACCAGACAAATTTTTACAACTTTTTTAACAACTCCGTTAATGAGCTTTATGTCTCCACGTTGCCTCCAATGTATCACATGAAAGAAACATTTGTTGACTTCTGCAACAGGCAGAAATGCATCAATACACTTAAAGGTTCTACATGTAACATTCAGAAAACCCTTCTTATTAACGACAACGGTGGCCGTTAGGTCAGCACCCATTTGCTCACACTCACATGCATGCTCGCACTCCAAATGTAGGCACAAGTGAGTGTCTTGGGCATCGGCCAAAGCAGTGACATGATGGTCGGCTAAGGAAAGAAATTCAGCTCTGTATGGCATTTGGATAGTACCAATTTAAGCATTTCCTGGAGAAGAAGAAGGACCAATTTACTGTTCTGTTGCTGCCAAACCTTGTGGAGTTTTGAATGAGATTAATTCTGCAGACAAGAGACCGGTGGTGATGTAACAGCAACTACATGAAAGGAACATCTACTGGCGGAGGAGTCATGCCCTGGACACAAATGTGGCATGTGGCAAGTGCACCACGAAAAGGCCAGCCGATGCGGTGGCCCACCACGATTGGTCCCGGTAGTCACAATGACCAATCCAATGAAACAAGACATAACATGATTGACCAGCATCATGTTGAGCTAGCTGGTTAGCATACAAACGTTATTAAAAAAACAGAAGTGATAGAAATAGAAGCAAATGAAAATACTTATTTCTACTGCTGGATACAGCTCTGGGCAAGTAAAGGACTGAAGTTTGATGGTGAACTTACAACGTTTCTTCTAGACTGGTAAGTAACAGCAAACAGCTGTTAATGCTAACACTGACTATGTAACTGTAACAAAACTTGCTAATAGCTCCTTTAAATAACTTTTTTTCTCTATGTAAGGGTAAGGTGGCATGCATTTTAGACAACTAAAATTTTCCAGTAAGAGGTCAAGTGTGCTGTCTGTCTTCTTTTCTTTTTTACCTTTTAAAGGTTTATTTTAATCCTCAGGCCTTCTAAAATGATTAAGGAAAAACAATTTGTATCTTCATTTATTTGAAAAGATATCATCTGGATAGGCTGACTATGAGCAGTTACATTTTTAAAAAATCTGTAAATATTGTTTAACATATTTGAATATTTTATATTGTTTAATATGTTTCCATCAGCTGTAGTTACTCTGCAGATTCTGATTTTTATGAACACATAAGATCCAATACATTGTTATACAGTAAATAAAGTCACTCAAAACTATATAAAATGGGTAAAATTTGCAGCTATTAAAATGCGACTTACATGTTAATGAATCATAATAATAATATATAATGATGATTCTGTTTTGTCTGTTTTAATACAGGATTTTTCCCTGGGGATTTGCGGACTTCCTTACATATACAGTAAATGTATGTACATATGTAGC